ACTAGTGACCAATGAAACTCTAACCTGTGTCTCCTTGTCTTTTACTTTATTGTGTGCTTTTCGGTGGCCACATGCAGGGTCGGGCTTGTTGCCTTTGACCTGCGGCCACTTCTGCCGCAGCTTGCTCTGGAAGGTTCCCGTGTCCCCTGGGCCCTGCAGCCTTGGGGAAGGGCCGTGGGTTTCACTCCTTTACTGTAGTTGCTTTCCTTGCCTTCTGTTTTGGTCCACATCAGCTCTGTAGCTCCTGCTGCTCCCCTTTGGGAAAGTTGCTTCCATCTTTTAGGGACATTCGGTACTACTGGGAGTTCCTTGGGAAATGTCGGCTGGCCTAACCCTGGAGTCAGAGGACTGTCCACCTTCTTGTAGCTGACTTTCCTCACCAGGGCAGCCTTTCATGCCTCAATTTATATGTGATTAAGTAGCAATAAACAACTTGGGTTGTGTTCAGAATCATTTCCTGAGTGCCAGCTGTGTGCTAGCTGGAGAAGTCATCCCCCCGGCCCTGAAGAACTCTGGAGTGAGAAAAACAGAAACATGCAAGCGAGCAGTAGTCATGGTGTGATGTGTGCCATGGTGGAGATGCATAGGATGAACCAGGACCCCAGGGAGGAGTCATCCTGCCTGGGGAGGTTGTGGCAGGCCCAGGGAGGGAGACGGTGCTATGCTAGGTGGGAGGAAGTAGTTTGTGTGCAGCTTGGAGATGTGGCAGCCTGAGATATTTTAGGGGACTGGCCCGTTGTTCCCCGTGTCTGGGAGTTTAAGAAACAGGAAGGTCTCGTGAACCAAGGTTCATCCACACTAAATTGTGAAGCCCTTGGGAGCCCCAAAGAGCTTGAAGAGCAAATGAAGGTTTTGACAAGATCGGATTTTTTTTGATACCTGTTAATACAGCAAGAAATTCCATATCGAGAGTGCCAGGCCCTCCCGTAGCCGGGTCTTGACCACAGCCCTTGTCTTCAGGGTCCGTGGTTCATTACTGTTTACTGGATCCTGCCATGGCCGTTCTGGTCTATTTCCAGCAAATCAACAACTGTGTAAGTGCCTGTTTTCCTTCGGCCACAGAATACAGCATAGTTTTATTAACAGGAGCCAGTCTGCTAGGGAAGACGACCTGCTTCCCCGGAACGCAGTCTTGTTTTCCAGCTCGTAGTCCCAGTGGGGACTCTCCTTCAAGTTCCTTTGCCTCTGCTGTGTGCCCAATATATGAAGAGTCCCCTGCACAGATGTTTGATTCCCTTCAGTTTTTACATCTGTGATGTCTAGTGGACTTGATTCTTTTCAGTTCTACAACAAGATTTCAGAATTAGACCCTGCTCTGCAGCTGCCTGATGCAGAAAGCTGGCTGCGGCAGGGCTCAGTTCTCTGAGGCATCCTTGGATGTGGGTGGGGGGCCCCAGCAGTGTGGCCCCAGGCACTGCTACTTTCTGCCCCATGGGTGCCATGGTCCTATCCAGACATCCTCTTCTGCTCTTTGCTGAGTGTGGTCTTCCCCATCACCTGTTAGGATTTGCAAATTTTCCTGATTTTCCTTGCCTGCTCCTTGCCCTGGGGTTTCCTGACTTCCACCCCACACCTTTGTCTCTTTCCACATTCCTAGCCCTCATCCTTGTCCCCTGGTTGAGATAAGTGCCCTTGATTCAACTGATCCTCACTTTCCTCTTTTGAAGTCAGGGTGTTTAATGTTGATGCTGTCATTTCCTGAAGGCCCCTGCAGGTGTCGAGCATGGTATCTCTTCTAATTCTTACAACACGCCCTATGATGCTAATATTTTATTATTATTTCTATCCTGTGGCTCAGAAAACGGACACACCATAGGCTGCAGGTAGTTAGGCCAGTGAGGAAGACCAGTTAGTGAGCCCGGCCAGGGGGACCTCTGCATCTCAGGTCCATTAACACCAGAGTCTGCGCTCTCAGCCTGGCTGTGGCCCTAGTCTGCTGTGTTCTTTGGTCAGGAGCTCTCCTCTCCATTTTTTCTTGAATAAATAAATTTAAGCTTTTAAAATTGATATGCACATATGGAAAAGTACACGAATTGTGTGTATAGCTCAGTGACTTTCACCAAGAGCACCCACGAAGCCCACTTGTGTCCCTTCTAGTTGTTGAGGGTCCCCCCACTCCCACTTCTGATGCTGTAGATGAATTCTGCAATATGCTTGAACTTCTCTAAATCCATTCCTTCCGTTTGCATTCTTTTGTGGCTGGCCTCTCTCTGAATACAGACTTGAGAGAGATTTGTTAGTGCTCAGCTGTCTGTTTATGAACTCACCTCCCTGGTTGAGATAAACTCACCTGTCCAGGTTCCTCAATCACTAGAGAAGGCACGTTTCCTTCTGAGATCTCTGTAACGTCCGTCCGATGCGCCATCTCTGTGGCCTCTTCTCAGAGACATTTCCTGCTCTTCCTGTAGGTGAATGACTGCTTCCAGACTCTCGTTCGTTCCCCGGGTTTTCCCTCCGGTTGATGCCTCTTTGAGACCCGTCGGCCCTTTGTGCCACCCTGGTTTGTTCGTTTCATCAGGCTCTCCAGCACAGCGGGCAGCCCTGGCCTCCTTCAGGCCCCCTGTGACTGATGTATTAACATCCATATGGGTTTCCCCTGGGACAGACAAATGTTCACAGCTTCTGGCAGCAGTTTGCTGCACAGTGAATCAATTTTAAATTGCCTCAGTATGATGATCACAGACCTCCTGTGTGGTTTAAAGAAGAGGACACCTGGGAGAGAGGTGGGTGTCTTCCAGAGACGTGCATACAGCTCTCTGTCTGTACTTTGTGCATCTATTTTAATCTGGAACATTTAACTCTAGAATAAGCTGGGTTCCAACTGAAGCAAGATGAAATTTTCTTCCCCTAAAAATCCAGAACTGCTAAGAGGGTGCCTGATGGAAACTTTGCCCACCTCGATTTATGGCAGCCTGAGAGAAACCAATGTTCCCATGTGCCGTTATTCTCACGGCACAGAAGGCTTTGAGAGGCAGGTTCTTTCCCCGCGTCAGCCACCGTTCTTACAAAATATAGTCAATTCGATTGTTTTATTTTATAAAAGCTCACTGGTCATTTCTCCAGCTTCACCTGGCTGTTCGTTTGTTATTGTCAGACCCAGGTCATAGTGCCTGATACGTGGGTCACATAACTTGCTACTGGACCTTGAAGAATTCTCCCAGAATGTGAATAGACCAGTTCTTGTGGTCTTAATCTTCAAGGGCAATAAAAGGGCTATTTGATTCCAACTCCAGATTTCCTATAATCGACGGCATAGGTTCAGTTAACTGTCATGTGCGTATACTGAAGTATCATGTAGGCTGATGCATTACTACTGTTGGATAAAAAAATAGGAGGTTTAGTGGTTTAGTGACTGAAGGGCTTTGAGCTGTAGTTGTTTTATATGCATATTAATTTCCCAGGACATTCTGTGTGGCTCCCATTATGTGTGCTCAATTATTCAAATTAAGAGTAACATTAAGGATTTGGGCCAAATAGCCATTTAATATTAGTTATTGGAACCAATTTGCCAGGAGATAACAGATATCTAAGATTGTGTCCTTTGGTAGGGAAAGGGGAAGTTCTGTTAAAAGTCTTCATGTATTTGATATTTTGCTTTTATAGAGGGAAGATTGTAGCATATATTTTGTTTTGAAGTTTAAGGAAGTAAGTGGGTTTTATATGCAGGCTAGTAAAAACCTGATATCTTGTATCAGTTTTCAATTTTGTGCTTGCTGTTGTTTTGTAAAATTTTAGTTAGGATTAAAATGAAAATGTAAGTTCTGTATTAATACCCATGGTTTTTAGATCTGTAAAGGGACTAATTAATCATTAGAGAAAAACCATGCTTTATGATTTTGGTGTAGAAAGAGAGGTATACATGAGGATTAGGTTTGTTTGTATTCAATGGGGGAGGAAAACAATAGCTTAAGTAACATAGAAGTTTATTTCTCTTGCCCATCGCGTTGCCAGGGCCTCTGCATCCTGTCTTTCTCTTCTACTTCCCTCAGCAATTGATTTCCAACTTTAAAGTCACCTCGTGGCCCAGAAGTGCTGCTGGAGCTCCAGTCATCTTGCTCATAGTTCAGGAAAGAGCAAGAGAAGAGGGCAGACATGTCCTCCCTCCCCCTTTTTAATTCTTTTTTTTTTTTAATTGATAAACTTATTTTTTAGGGCAGTTTTAGGTTCACAGCAAAATTGAGTAGAAAGTACAGGGAATTTCTGTATCTCCTAGAGTCCCCTTTCTTTTAAGTTAAGAACTTCCTCTAAGTGCCGCCCAGCGGCTTCTGCTTACATCTCACTAGTCAGAATGTGGGCACACCTGGCTAACGGGGGCTGCAGAGCGTCTTTTAGCTGGAGCTTTGCCGCCTTAGATTGAACTCGGGTTCATGGCCAAGGTAGATGGGAGGTTGTTGAGGAGGAACTTGAAATCTCCTTTATAAAGCTGTTTGACGTAAGAGAATCACTTCTATTATTTTTCTCTTGGTTATGCAAAACAGAGTTGAAGTCCAAGCCTTAGTTGGTACATTTAGAAATCTGATTTGTTTGTTAGTGTTGAAATATACTCTTTACTGTATGTAATTATTACGAGTTCTTAAGGGCTTCATCTTAAAGCATGGAAAATAATCATTTTAAATTATACTAAGAAGTCATACAATTATATAAGGTACATGGAAGGAGGTATTTTATGTTCATTTAGTGTTTTATAATGGGATTTGAAAGAATGCTGTATGAAATGGATAAGCACAATTTAAAAATCCTTAAAAACTTAGAGAATACAGTTCAATATAGTATCTTTTGGTATACCCTAGACTTCTGCTATTATTTACTTTAAATTTGTTCCATCAGTAAGTACTTGATATTATATTGATTTCAAAAGGAAATTCTAACAAGAGGTTTCCCTTTTCTTTGTCTTTCTCGTAGCAGAGTGCTGAAGTAAGGACTAATTGCTTTATGATAAATGTTTTTCTGTCTTCTCTCCTGTCCCTCTCTGTTCTGTCTAATCCTCCCCTCTCCAAAAGTGCATACTCCTTCCACGTGACTGCAGACGGTCAGATGCAGCCCGTCCCTTTCCCCCCCGACGCCCTCATTGGACCTGGAATCCCCCGACACGCTCGCCAAATCAACACCCTGAACCACGGGGAGGTGGTGTGTGCAGTGACCATCAGCAACCCCACGAGACACGTGTACACGGGTGGGAAGGGCTGCGTCAAGGTCTGGGACATCAGCCACCCCGGCAACAAGAGCCCCGTCTCTCAGCTCGACTGTCTGGTGAGTGAACAGGAACCAGAGCACAAGGGTAATTTCTCCCTGGAGACTCAATAAGGAAATAGCTGTCCAGGCCTGGGTTTTATTCGCATTAGGAGGAAATGGAAGCCCATTCTGTTTCCTGTGTTAGCTATTCAGCTCTCCCGACCCCTCTGCCTTCAGTGTGAAGGTTGCGTTTATTGCTGTTTCAGTGGTTAAATCCCAGAGTTGATGGAGTTCTTTTAAAAACTGTTTTACAGTAGTTTACAGAAGCTGTCCTTGTTTGAATGTGTATTCAACAGGGTGTTCCCATTTAATGGATGGAAGCGCAACCAGCCCTGGACTCTGAGCCCTGGCACCCACTCAACTTTTAATTTCCCTACAGCCTTTGGATAAATATTGAAGAGTAAACATTTGATAAGGTGGCATTAAAACCCTTCTGAACAGGGTCTGTGTTTTCAGGGAGACCTGGGAGGGCTGGCTGGGCTTTATTACCTTGACGTCACGAAAGGGTTACTAGATTGCAGGGCAGGGACCCAGGGCAGCCGTAGCCACGCAGGAGCCCTGAGAGGCACCGCATCTGCCCTCACCTGTGGGGTGAGAATGCCATTGCGCATGTCTCGGGACCGTGGAACACGTCGAGACATGTTCCGACCTCTGAGCTGTCACCCCAGGACTTACAGACCACATACCGGTGGTTTAAGCAGACTCAGGGCTCCTCGGCCCCCAGTATGGTGTCCGCCTGCACTCTCCTGTCACAGGTGGTGCAGTTCACATGCCTGGCACATGGTGAGGGTTCCGGAGGGAGTGTTTCCAAAAAGAAGGGTGGCAGTATTTTTGAGGCACAGAGGCTTTCTTGCAGGGTAGTTATTGGTTTATTTCTTTACTCACATAATTTTAAAATATCTCCATGAATGAAAACTTAAACATAGTTAAACATACTTAAACAGGTCAGCGTTCTGTAGTAATAGGAGTATTTTGTCACACTCATTACAGGCTTAAAGTTTCTCTATTGTTTGAAAAATAGGCTGTGGTTAAAGCATCGTAAAGCTTCGGCTGTATCTGTTTGGGTTGAAGGATAGCAGTTCTTTCTTTCGAAGAGGAGAGTCATTTTAGGTCCTCCCATTTCAGATCCCACCTCCCTTTTTAATACATGTTGATTGATGGAGAGATGCCTTCTGTTATCAGTTTCTTTGCCCTTTGGATTGAGAGGCTTGAGTATGACAGCCGTGTTGTTATAACTTGAGAAAGCAGCTCTGTTAAGTTTTTGGACAAGGATTCATCTGGTGAATGAAAACAAGCTTTACATAGAGAGTTAAGAGTAAGGAAAACTTAGGCAGCAGGTCTGCAGTTTCCAAATTGTAAATAATGGAGGGTGATGAGGTCAAAGATTCATAAAGTAGCTTTGCAAAGTGGTTTCTTCATAGAGAAGTACGTGTGCCTCTACCTCACATCTCCTGATTGTTTCACTTGTCTACTCAGCAAGAGATGGGACATCAGGAACAGTTCTATCAAAGCGTTAGTGCGTGCCTGAGCAACCCTATGAGTTTGTTTTGTTTACAAAACAATCAGATCCCAATCTTCACTACTGAACTCTTTCTTTGCTAGTGTCTGTGAAATGCCACTTTTCAAGTCAAAAACCAAGATAGCAGTTAGAGAACATGGCATCGTTACTGCTCAGTAATACATTATAGCAATTGAATTATGTTTATTTCACAGAATAGAGATAACTACATCCGTTCCTGCAAATTGCTCCCTGATGGCTGCACTCTCATAGTGGGAGGCGAAGCCAGTACCCTGTCCATTTGGGACCTGGCGGCTCCGACCCCGCGCATCAAGGCAGAGCTGACGTCCTCGGCCCCCGCCTGCTACGCCCTGGCCATCAGCCCCGACTCCAAGGTCTGCTTCTCGTGCTGCAGCGACGGCAACATCGCTGTGTGGGACCTGCACAACCAGACGCTGGTGAGGTGAGCACAGATGGTTTCCTTAGGGGGGGTTCCCTCCTTGATTACCTGTGCCAGAAGGCCTCATCTCACCCCTGCTTTTCTGGCTGCCCCCAGTCCCTCAGTGCACCCATTAAGAGCCTGTTGTATGCCAGGCATGGAGCTTGGTGTTGGGAGTGCAAAGACAAAACGGGGTCGCTGCCCTTGGGGGTCTTGTAGTCATGCTGCTGTGCTTGGATGTCACCAGGCTTTATATTTACCTCCCTACTGTTCCTATCACCACCTAGAGAAACCACACTTACTTAAAAAATATTCCTGGGGTGGTGTACGATGGACTACGTGACGGTATGAAGGGTCCTCAATACTACATGGTTTTGGCTTTGGCTAGACCCTTGTTTGTGCAAACAGGAGCCAACTGATAAAGGGTAACAGAAAATCAACAAAAGGACATTTGAAGAGGGGATTCCACGAATCTCACACACAGAATGGTTTTGAAGTATCTGTGTTTCCCAATAACTAAATAAGTCCTGTTGACGGGACGTTCCATCCAGGACAAACCCAGCTTCCTGGAATCTGCCCTCCGAACCGTAGCGACAGCTGTCATTCTGCCCTCTTTGTGTCTCTCTTTGGCTCCAGCCAGCTCGTTCCCTTGCTGAAGTCAGTGCTCACACCAGAGACGCTACAGAAAAGTCTTTTAAAAAAAGGAAGCACTAATTAAACATCCAGGGTAAAACTGGCATGCGACTTGCCCTTTCGTTTCACAGTTCATCTTTGCTCAGAAACACTGTTTATGGGGCGATTTAGGCTGAGGATTATTTAGCAGGCTCGTCTGATGCTTTTTGGGCCCGTGTGTCAGAAGGGATGAAGTCCTTACTGCAGCTCGCTCTCCCTTCAAACCTCCCTGCTAGGAATCCAGTCAGTGTCACGGAGCCAGGCTCTGTCCCTGCTTTTTGATTTTTGATCAAAAGATTTTTGATGTGATGGTTCCTGTCTTGTCTCAGAATTCAGGGCAACAGTGGTGCTTCCCCCCCCCTTCCATGCTCTTTAGGGTGACGGTGCGGCAGTTATTTTTCTCTTGTCACTCACTGGGCAGCTCAGAACGAGCAAAATGGACAAATGGACCCAGAGTCATCAGTCCCTTCCTTCAGGCTTTTAGCCTAGCAAGCGTTCATTGTTTTTCCTCTTTTTCTTTTTTAAATTTAATAAATGGCACTTTCAAAATACTTCTAAGCACTTTTCAAATATTAATCCATTTAATTGTCATAATGTGTGGACTGCTGTTACCCTGATTTTATAGATGAGGAGCCTGAGGCACAGAGAGGTTAAGTTCACTTGCCTTGAGTCACACAGTCAGGTGCGAGGAAGCTGTGATGGGGCCCAGGCATTCTGCTCTCGTCTGCTCTCCATCCCTGCTCTGTGCTGGCCCCCGGGGAGTCGGTACCTGTTGGATATATATCTATGTAATGGGTAGTGCTTTACACATCTCTCTCTCTGTGGACTGGCCACATGAGACAGGGCAGTATGGAGCCTACTGAGTCTTGTATCTACTGTGACCCAGCACGTCCTGAGCAGTCCCGGGCTGTGCGTTCTGGAAGCCTGAGAGCAGGGCTGAGGCATGTGGATGAGGAAGGAGGAACACCCACCGAGCACTGTGAGCCAGCAGAGAGAGACATTTGTGGTCAAGGAGCACGAGTGTTCCCTGAGTTCTAGAGGGAAGAAGTCGAGGATGGAGTGAAGGGAGGCCACTGGGTATCAGAAGCTGTTTGAAGGAGAGCAAAGCAGCACTTTGAAAAGCTGGCGCAGGGACAGCTCTGGGTGACGCATGGGGATGTCTTGGAGGCAGGCTGCGATGACTGAGGCACCCATGCATGGCGACAGTCGGTGTGAGCGTTGGGGTGCTTGTGGGGAGAAGACGAAGACAGAAGTTCAGAACAGCTTGTGCAGAAAGATTTTTGATGTGATGGTTCCTGTCTTGTCTCAGAATTCAGGGCAACAGTGGTGCTTTCTCCCCCTCTTCCATGCTCTTTAGATAAAGGTTTGGTGTTCTTGGGAATGATAAGGTGAGGGGCCCTAGAGAAGAACAGGCGTGGAAGCTTTCCCTCTTGGTATCGAAATTCCCAAGCAGTTCTCTGATAGGTCCTGCCCGGTTCACCATAGTGGCTGAGCCTCTGAACGGCTCTCACCTCTTCTGGTCACTCCCCTGCCAGCTCCCTCTTGGCCTGCAGAACCAAGTCCGGGACCCACAACCCACCAGCATTGTCACGGCTTACACTGACCTCCTACCCAGCGAGCCCCACCTGGTGCCTGGCAGAGCGTCTGTGCTCGGCAAATTGCTGTTGATCGATTGTTCCTGATGGTAGTTTGTGACTCAAGCACGAGGGTCCCCTTTAAGAAAACAGCCTTGTGCTCAGCTTCAAGGCCGGGTTTTGCTGAGGTCCCCGGGGGTCGGCCTCGGCAATTCTCTTTGTCTCTGCTCTGCGCCTCTGCGTCAGGAGGCTGGCATGACCCTTTGTCTCTGGGAGTCCAGATTTCCTAACACAGGGCTCTTTCTAATACAGAAAGCAAGGTTGAGTAAATACGCGAGCTCATGCGCAGTTGGCACGAAGGGCGTCGCTGCGTGGATTCACTCATGAAGACCGGAGTGCTCCTGGCCCCCCAGCTGGTCATGTAGTGATGCAGACCCCAGGAGGAAAGGGCAGGCCTTCATCTTTCATTAAGGAATACACTGGGGATTCTGTATGTTGGTCCTTTTTTTATTTTCTTTTAATGCTTAAACACTTTTCCAGACCTGGGAGGAATTTTACCTTCCAGACGGATTTGTAAGAACAGCTATAGCAGCGTATTTGACTTCTCCTGTGTAGTGACCTAAAATGGCATTGCATTTCTTTAACGCTTGGATCATGAAGAAAGAAAATCTGCAGGTGCTGTTTCCTCCCCTCCTCGGGGGAAGGTTAGTTTGATCTTGCACATCAGCAGACACTGAAGAGATGACACACACACCCCGAGTCCAAAACTAACAACACAACAGTGTTTACCTTGAGCTCTGGCAGGAAATCATTATTCAATCTGGTTTGTTTTATCAGGCAATTCCAGGGCCACACAGACGGGGCCAGCTGTATTGACATTTCTAATGATGGCACCAAGCTCTGGACGGGCGGCCTGGACAACACGGTCAGATCCTGGGACCTGCGCGAGGGGCGGCAGCTGCAGCAGCACGATTTCACCTCCCAGGTGACAGGCTCTCCCGAGGTGGCTTCTGTGAGGTGGTGTCTGTGTGGTGTCCTCCTTCTACCCTCCTACCTCCAGGAGACAGACAGACCAGGCTTAAATTTGAGACACTGATTTAAAAAAGAAAATACAGACAAGCAACAAAACCACTGTGAAACGCGTAGAGTGGTTGCTGTAATGCTGTAGGTTCAGACACGTTGTTTTATGTATGTATGAGCTCGTTTAAGGGATTCGTGCTGTGAAGAATATGCAGTGTGTGATCTGCTGTACGTGTTCTCACCGTCCAAGGCAGGGGTGAGAGACGATTATATGATTCACAAATAAATAGAGCTTGAAAAATATGCCAGGATATCACAAGGAGTAAAGTCACAATAACTCTGAAAGTTCATTCATTTCCCTTCTATCAGGGAGCTTAAAAAGATGGAGTGGCATCTCAGTGGATTATTTTTATTACTTTATTACTCATCCCTTAGGAAATAGACTCATCGCTGACTAGATTTACAGAGTTTTGAAATGATACAAAGATGGCGATTTTGTGGATTGCGAAGATTATTTAGCTGTTGACTATCTGAATCTAGATCTGTTGTGGGGAAAACTGTGCCTGCCATTTTAAGTGCTTTCTGGTGGTAGAATTGTTCTTTTCATCATTACTTGTTTCCTTTCTTTTTTCTTAATGATGGAAATAATTCCCCTCAGAAAAATAGGATAAAAATGGAAAACTATGCATCCTACTAAATTTCATGTCCCTGTTAAAATTTTGTTGAGTTTCTTATAGTCTTCCCTGTTCCAGCCCTTTTCCCAGTATGAGTAGGCTACTATTTTTGGTCTGCCTTTTTTTTTAAACTTCTTATGGAAATTTTCAAGTACGTCTCATAGTACAGAGAATGTTCCAGCATATATGAAAGTACAGAGAATTGTACAATAAACCCCATATGCCCATCAGCCGGTTTTAACAGTTCTTAACACATGACCAGTCTTGTCTCATCTGTCATCCTTGACCCCAAACACTGGATTATTTTAAAGTAAATCCCGGACATCATACATAACTATTTCAATTAGTATCTGTAAAAAACAAGGACCCATTTAGAACACACACATACAAAAATACCATTATTAATAAGAATAATTTCTTAATTTCATCACATGGGACGTAGGTGTTTCAGTTTTTCCAATTGTTTCATAAAAGTTTTTGGCACTTGGTTCATATGGCTGGTGTCGCCTATCCTGTAGACTTGACCACAGTCTGGAGTTTGCTAATTACATCTCCATTTTCTTGCTATTTTCCCCTCTTCCTTGTCATCCTGTCACTTCCTAAGTTTATTGGGCAGAATAACCAGTGAGCCTGTCCTGCCTCTTATAGATCTTCTCCCTGGGGTACTGCCCCACTGGAGAGTGGCTGGCCGTGGGCATGGAGAGCAGCAACGTGGAAGTTCTCCACGTGAACAAGCCCGACAAGTACCAGCTGCATCTCCACGAGAGCTGTGTGCTGTCCCTGAAATTTGCTTATTGTGGTGAGTTCAACTAAATGGAAACCAGAGGACATTAATGGTTTAAATGGAAAATACTTCTAAAGAAAAATAGAGTAGAGATCATATCTGGAAAAAATGTTGTTCTCTGAGCAGCTGGATGCAATAATTCTATTGTCTTAATATGTCCCATAGAGCATAGTGATGTCTGTTTCAGTCTGTTTCCCTAATTTGAGAAAAGTCAGCAGGCAGTGAATTACCTAATACAAGATTTTGACACCTATTTCTTTTTAGTGGAGAATCTCTGGGCTGGAGGACAGTTAGTTACCACTCTGAAGAGAGGTGGAGGGGAATTTATAGAAGAATGGGGCAGGAGCAGAGGAAGTCGGTCTGGACTGACCAGGATGAGGAGCCCACAGTCACAGAAGGGGCTCTTTGGCTGTGCCCAGACTGACACACTCTGCAGGGAAGATAAGAGGGAAGAAGTTCTTGTGGAGTCGGATATTTGTGCACGAGACTGATGGATGGGTGAGGAGCCGTCAGTCACTGAGCACGTGCTCTGCGCTATCTATCGTGTCTGGCGTTTATTTAGGTTTGTCGTTGAATCCTGCCTAGTCCCATTCAACAACTTCATTGATTCACTGTTGGAGGACCCAGTGTGTGCTGGCTGTGACGCTGTCTGTAGTGTAGCTGGTGGCTAATGGGGCTGACACGGCCCCTGCCACCGCTTTGATTACCAGATCACAGATGGTTCACAGTGGAACCCAGATTTAAAACCTGCTCTTTCCACTCATGTCATAGAACAACCCCTTGGGAATGATAGCTTGTGATTTAAAATGCCCTAAGTTTGATTAGTTCCAAGTGGCTAATAGTACAGTAGGAATTCAAATCTTGTTAAACTACATGTTCCTTTGCTAATTCTAGGCAAGTGGTTTGTCAGTACTGGAAAGGATAACCTCCTCAATGCTTGGCGGACCCCCTACGGAGCTAGTATATTCCAGGTAGGTCCGTGCTTCTTAACCTAGAATGACATTGTGTCCATGGCGTCCCTGGGGACACCAGAAGTGAGGGTGCCTGGGAGGGAGAAGGGCCCCTGAAGATCTGTTTCACATTAAACACATGCCCATTGTTTTCTCTTCCAGTCCAAAGAGTCCTCGTCCGTGCTCAGCTGTGACATCTCTGTGGATGATAAGTATATAGTCACTGGCTCAGGGGACAAGAAGGCTACAGTCTACGAAGTCATCTACTGAAAACATTATGTGGTTTAACGTTTATAGTTGAATTGGGCCAAAACGTTTTGAATTTGTAGAAATAGAAAAGTTGTAACTTTAAAAGAAAAAAAAAACCAAACATGAAAACCTGTTTCCAAACCTTGACACAAAACTACTTTCAGTCTAGAAAGAGGAGGCGACGAGTCCATCAACAGGTGGTCACCTATCTACCTAGACCAAACGGAGCACCGAGGCGAGGTGGACCGAGGGGCGGGGGGCGGTAGGCCTGAGCAACCGAGGGAGCCCGCTACCCCGGCAGAGCCCACGCTTTTCTTTCTGTCTGATCCGCTGAGATTCCTTTCTGTTCCTCGCGGTTCCTCTCACGCCCGTCTTTGCTAGAGCAATGGTGTCTCCACTGAACTTGTTTCCTGGTTTTGCATCTTGTGAAATGTTTTTTTGTATTTTTGTTGAAGGTTAAACATTTGTATAAATTGTAAATATATTTGGTTTATTACAGTAAAGGCTTTAGTACCAATAAGTGGTTTTCCTTTTCCTTCTTTATTGTTTTTGTCAACACTTTGGGATCATTGATGTGGGCTTTATAAGCAAATTCCAAACATTTGTAGAGGAAGTTTCAAAATGCACTTCTTATTTTATAAATATATTTGGTCATGGCCTCCTGCTGCACCAGAACGTGATCAACACGTCTGAGTTACCAGGAAGTCAAGACTAGGAGGAGTGAGTAATTGAAGGTTTATTAATGACGGTTTTATTTGAGAAGCTAAAATAATTTCCAGATTCATTCTTCTGTTAGAATACTCTTGTGATTGGAGGTTACAAATTAAAGCTCTGCTTTTTCTCGGGGAGTCATTGGGAGATAGAATATTCCTTTCTCTTGGAACGTCCAGCGTTTTCAAATCTATTTTCTCTCCCCTCACAAGCTTCATCTTTCAGAAAACGCAGGTGACTTGGGTTCAGTGTTAATTAAGACTGATGATATTCACCAAGCTGTGGAGTTCATTAACCTGTGAAAGAAAGGGGGGATGTCAGCTGGCTTTGTCTCATTAAGACTTATTTGATCTATTATATTCATTGACGGAAGCCAACCACACCCAGCACCAACCCCCTTCTCCCTGCAGCTCCAGCCATTGCTTTATCATTATCTTTGTGGATAAGCTTTTGCTAATTTAATTAGGTGAAACCTATAACCCTGGCCTTTAGTAAGTTACCATGTGTATTTCCTCCCAAAAAGGCCACATGGCTCATTCTTTATATACATATTATTTACTGGTATGTTTTAGAAAATAATGGCCAATAATTTTAAGCCAAGTTTCCTAGCTGTTTAAAAATAGCACCTACGGGATTTTTAGTGTTCTTGTTTTCTTATGATCTAGCGAGTTGTTGGCAGTTTGTCTTAATATTTTTCATTTGTTATCCAGACCTTCTTGTTTTTATACATTCAACAACATTATTTTGTTCGCTTTTTTGCCAAAATAATATTTGTTTATGTGTAGAGTTGGTTAAATATTTTCTCTTCTCATTAAGCGAATGGCAGAGCCCTAATTACTGAAGCTGATTTCTCTCTCCTCCCTTCCGTGTATAATGAAGTAGTTTCTGTCCTACCGGCTCTGATGGCTTATTAACGCCCTGTGTACCTTTACCGTTCTCTCTCCTCCCCGCCTTGCTTCCCTGTTTCCTGTGATAGTAGGGTAGAGGCAAAGTTGCTAGGACAGCACTCAACAACACAGTGGCTTAGACATTACAGGGTTTGTTTCTCACCTTCCTGAGGCCCAGTGACCCAGGCCAGCAGCACAGCCCTGCACTTTCAGGGTTACTCCAGTGTCCCCGGCAGTGGGGAAAGAGTGGAATTTCAGTAAAGGGATGTGCTTTCCAGCAGCTGACTAGGAATTTGTTCATCACTGCCATTCCCAGTCCATTGGCAGGGACTTAGTCCTGTGGGAGATGGGCGACATGGTCTCTTGCTGTGCAGCCTTGTGCCCATGGGGAGGAGGGATACCTTTGAAAGGATTCTGGGTTAAAGAAATCATCCTGTTTTCTGCTGGTGCATTTTCTCCCTTCATGCTGTATGGTTTCCCAAGCTGGTGATACTCTTTCTCTAATGGGATTTCCTGAGTGTCTAGACGTTAGCAACTCATCGATGACGTGGAGTCTGATGAAGCTACTTCCGTTTGCTTTGGGATGAGATGCTAGTTTGGTCCTGGAAGAGGCTTTCAAGAGCCAGTCCCACTGCTCAGGGGTTTGGAACTTGGGGGAATTGCCTAGACAGTTGAGCATTTCCCCATTTGTAAAATGGGAATGTTAAGATTGTTGTGCCGACCTCTCAGGGTCTGAGGATCAGAAGCAATATGTGAAGCAGGACTGTGAGTGGCAGCCATTCTACAAACACAGGGCTTGAGTGGAAGAAGGGTTTCTTCCCAAATTCTGTAGTTAGGGGCCACCACTCCTCTTCCTCTCTCCCAGGAGACTGGGAAGCATGGGATGGTTGAAAGCTGGGTAAGCCAAATGTTTGTATACCTCTCCCCTTGAATATGGACTACAAATGTGGGTTCAGTAAATTCAGATTCAACTAGACATTGATCACCAGGGTGTGCCAAGAGCCGTGCAAGGCAGATTCACATATAAAATGTCAGGAGATGATTGTCATTATCCTTAATTAGGTAACCAGGGCTTGGGGAAGCTGTGTCCCCATGGCCTCACAGGAGGTAGAACCAAGTTAAGGTTTTACACAAGTCCTGTCTGTGTTCTTTCAAATCTCATGGAGTGGGCTCTGGTTCTTCCTGGCTATCCATATTTCCTCTTCATTTCATTTGAAATACTTACCAATTGCACAGCTCCCTTAGGTACTCCGGGCAGCATTAATAGATGTGCAAATAGGTTTGTGTTCACTAGTTTATGCTTAATGTATGCAAGTAATTGTTTTCCCCATTTTTGAAAATAGGTTTTGAAATAGGTCTTATCTATATTTAATCTTGTTATTTTTCTGTTTGTTTATTGTGGTAACATTGGTTTATAACATATAAATTTCCGGTATACATCGTAATATATTTCTAATTCTGTGTAGATTACATCATATTCACCACCCAAAGACTAATTACAATCCATCATCACACACATGTACCTAATCCCCCCTTTTGCCCTCCTGCCTCCCCCCTTTCCCTCTGATAACCACCAATTCAATCTCTGTCTCTATGAGATTGTTTGACATTGTTTTTATCTTCTACTTAGGAGAGAGATCATACGGTATTTGACTTTGTCCTTCTGACTTATTTCACTTACCATAATACCGTCATGGTCCATCCATGTTGTTACACATGACCGGATTTCATCATTTCTTATGGCTGAATAGTATTCCATTGTGTGTAAGTACCACATCATTATCCATTCGTCCTTGATGGGCACCTAGGTTGCCTCCAAGTCTTGGCTGTTGTGAATAATGCTGCAATGAACATAGGGGTGCATGTATCTTTATGCATTCGTATTTTCATGTTCTTTGGATAAATACCCAGCATTGGAATAGCTGGATCATAATCTTGGCTTTGTATCACTCACAGTCTTTACTTAGACCTTGGATGTAGGTTTCTACCATGTAGCTCTTCCATGGAATTGAAGTTCACTGGGTAAAAATTGAAGTCCTAGTGAGATTGGCTTTGTAATACCTTTTTCATAACTAGATGTTTCTAGCACTTGTTTTCTAATAAGGACAAAATATTTCATCAGTATGGTAATTAACATTTTTAAAGTTTCTGTTATTTGCCCGGTGATAGGGAAGTGTTTCACACAAATTAAAATCATCCTCACAGTGGCTGAAAGATGGGAGTTTTAATGGGTTAATTCTTTTAAGATTTCACAATGGGTAAGTAGCAGCTGGCTCCAAAGCTGTAGAGCATGCAAACAGGGATTTAAAAAACTGCACTTTTGCTAATGGTGCATCCAGGTTGTGACTTTCCCAGAAGTTTTCCAACAGATCGGAGAGGAATCAAATTCTTAATTTCAGTGCACTATTTAATTCTGTCGAGAGACTGCTGGCTCGGTTGTCAGCTTGAGCTGGAGTGATGGCATGTCGAACTCTCCACTCTGCTGTGGATCCATGGATTGATTGCTTCTCAAGGACATCTTCTCTTCACTTGGCAATGAAATCCTCAGATCACCGCAGTTTCAGGCTTCCCGCAACAAGACGAAGCTTGTGTGAGGGTCAGTTCTGACCCAGTGAGTTTACTCCCCAGCCTTTTGAAGCTTTTTGGCTACGTGTTTTATCCTAGCACTTAAACAGTTACATGATTTGGTCTCCATTGGGTTCAGATTACTAGGGAAGTTGTTCTCAAACTTTAGTCTGCATCAGGGGCCGGCCCGGTGGCACAGCGGTTAAGTGCACACGTTCCGCTTCGGCGGCCCGGGGTTCACTGGTTCAGATCCTGGGTGCGGACATGGCACCTCTTGGCAGGCCGTGCTGTGGTAGGCGTCCTACATATAAAGTAGAGGAAGATGGGCACGGATGTTATCTCAGGGCCAGTCTTCCTCAGCAAGAAGACGAGGATTGGTGGCAGATGTTAGCTCAGAGCTAATCTTCCTCACACACAAAAACAACCGTTAGTCTGCATCCGAATCACCAGGAAGACCAGTTAAAAATTCAGATTTCTGGGCCCCAGTCTCGAGTTTTTGATGCAGGAGGTCAGGGTGGGACCCAAGAATTTGCATTTCTTTACCAAGTTCCCCGTGGATCCTGAGCCTGCTGATCTGAAGACCACACTTGAAAACAGCTAATCAAGAGCGATCACCTCTACAGTAGGGCTGCCAATGTGTTCAGAAACTTGTAGAGTATGTTTGTATTCTCTTAAAAAGGGAACAGTCCCACATTTTAGGCTTTGGGGCTGAGGATTAAAAATAAAGTGACAATGAAGTGCAAGAGGCAAACTGTTTTGAAGTTGTTCTTCTTTCGTTAGTTTCTGTTTGTAAAACTAACTTGGAGTTTAATATTATAGTAGGTCTAAACCAAAATTGAGTTCTTAAAGTTGCTTTTTTCTGTAGCCATACTAAAGTGAATTACGTGAGTCTTCTAAGGCTTTGAAAACGTAGCATAGTGACCTAATGTAGAAGCCTCAAGAATGTACACAGTGTTTAATTGGAGTAGTGATGCATAATTAAAAGCTAGAAATCATTCTTTGAAAATTGGAATCCTTACTGTGTGTAGAATAATAAGATGCTGACTTTATAGAATGTTTTGATTCCTCAGATTAGCACATTCGGTCAATCAGCCAGCATTTATTGAGGATGTGACCTCAGCACGTGGCAAGGTGGTCACTGGGCTGGTGACTAAGGTGAAATTATTCCGGTGAGATGGGACTGAGGAAGAACCTGCTGATGGTGATGAGGCGGCTGTGAGTGGGGCACTGCCCTAAGGAAACGGGCAGTGAGGGATGGGCAGGCAGCTCTCAGCAATCTTGGGTGCGAATTACTAAATTGACATTAGGTGGCTAAGACGACCGATGGTGCCGTCCCAGCAGGCCTTCAGAAGAGCTG